TCCTGGGACAGCTGGCACTCGTGCTCAGCTTTCTCCCGACAAAGCACATCCAGGATGTGCATCTGTTCTTTATACTTCAGGAGGCAATCCTCCATGGTCTGGATGTGTGCTGACAGCTGGCTGTATCGATGGTGTAGCTCCTCCACTGGACTCTGGAAGTCCACTTCATCAGGCAGATGGTAGATGGAGCAGATTTCCTTCATGGACGCCCTCGTGTCCTGCTTCCCATCCGCACACAGGCTGTGTTGGCAGCTCATAGGGCAGATGGCCTGTGGCTCCAGATTAATCTGGCACTGAGCTGCCAGGTGGGCTGGGAGTCCCAAGCGGGCCTGCAGCTTCTGGGGCAGGAGCTTCCACCTGTGGATTTCAGCCACCGAGAGTGCTTGCAGATCCACGTCCCTCTCGGTCTGGGGGATGTCTCCATGCTCTGCGATGGTCATGTCGGGGAGACTCATGTCCTCACCTTTTGCTTCTCCAGGGCTCTCACCTTCCCCTTCCCCAGGAAAAGCCAGGATGCTCAGCTGGGCCTGCAGGAGCTCCTCCTGTGGTCTGGTCACTTCCAGGCACTTGATAGTGTCCTGCCACTTTTGGGGCACCTCCGGGTCCCCCCAGTTGGTCGGGGCCTGCACTTGCTTCAACTGCTCCTGCAGCTGGGTCTGCCTCTGCAGGTGCTGCTGCAGGGCGTCCTTCTCAGAGCGCAGCCGCTCATTGGAAGTGATGTGCAGATCACACGTGGCTCTGACCTCCTGCAGCTGGGCCAACTGACACTCCTGCAGCTCCTGTGCCGCCTGGCTGTCTCTCTCAGCCACCTCTTTCCATTCCTCTCTCTTCTCCTCTGCATGGTCCAGCTGTTCCCGCAGATGTTTCTTCACCTGCAGCTCATAGTCCAGGATGCTGGTGAGCCCCTCCTTCTCACTGCTCACCCTGTGGAGAGAGTCCTGCAGCAGGGCCAACTGTTCCTCTGGCTGTGGGTCACACACACATGTAAATCCTGGGATCTCTGTGATCTCCTGCCGATCCTTGGCCTTCTCCTCCAGTCTCCGCAGTTGCTCCTGTTGCTCCACATTCTGGAGACGGAGCCTCTGGTTTTCCTGGACCTGGATGTGAAGTTGTTCCTTCAGGTTTTTTAACTCCATCTGTGTACTGTAGGCCTGGGCCTGCAGCTGCCGTTCGGCCTGAGACGGTCGTGTGGGGGGCCTTGACTCTGCCCGCTTCCTTCTCAGTTCGCCCAGCTCATTCTGTAGGGCTAGCACCTGCCTTGACACTTGCTCCTTCTCCTCTGTCAGTTGGTTCACCCTCTGGGTCAGCTGCTGGGCCTCTTCCTTCCGTGCGGACCTCTCAATGCTCAGGTCCTCTGCGAAGGTGTCTCTTTCAAGATTTGCTGCGGTCACTATCCACCTCAGATTGTCCAGTCGTCTCTTCAGGACCTCCCGCCCTGCCAGGGCTTGTTGGAACTTGCAGATTCTCTTCTTCATGTTGTTTCTCTGGGTCCAGAGTGCTTCCAGCTTCTCCTGCAACTCTGTATTCACTTGTTCCAGGTCATTGAAGCTTCTGGTCTTTTCCTCGAGCTGAAGTGTTACATCATTCAGCTGTTTGAAGAACATTTCAGCCTCCTTCTGTGCTGCAGTGACCGCAGAAGCCGCCATCTCCAGCTCCACCACGCGCCGCTCTGCAGCCTGTGGGCGGCTGGTGAGAGCTTCATGCTCCATTTCTCTGTCATTGGCTACCTGCTGCATGTAGGCTGGTGCACATTGTAAATTGCTTTCTGCCAAATCCAACCTCTGTATGGGTGGCTTGTGGATCTCTAGGTCTGTTTTCAGTGCTTCATGCACCTGGCATATCTTCTCCCTCTCTTTCTCCCGTCGATCCCGCAGGTCTGACTTTTCATGCTTCAATGGGTGGATCTTGGCACAGTGCACCTCGTTTCTTCTTTTGCTGCGGTCCAGGGCAGGCACCTTGGGTGGATAGCACCTCTGCACATCCTTGGTGGGATTGGGATCCTTGATTCTCTGGACTCTGGTGGCTGTGACTTTTTCCAAAGGCAGGGGAGCCCCGTGGTAAGCATCACCTTTGCCCAGACTTGAATCACACTCCCCAGTGGTGTTTGGCTTGGGGATCCCTCCCTTTTCTGTGTTCTTTGTTTTCTTGAATGTTGCAGGTCTGATGGGAGGATTTTTCTGCCGGTGTTCTGGCAGTAGTTTCTTGCCTGCAGCTCTCTCATGGAGTCTTATTTCAGACATCTGAGCACTGGGACGGGAAAGATGGGCTGGCCACGTTCCCAGGCTCTTGGAAATCCTCTAATAATCCCACTCACTGACTAGGAGGTCAATTTCCTCCTCCACCAAAGTGGCC